TAACAATGGACTTTGGCGTGTAGACTTGGGCAATGCATGCATGCGAATATCCTCAAAATAGCATAAAAATAAATTTTGTTGACTTCAGAACCAAAAAAAAATAAAGAGGAAGCACTTAACCGTAGATTCATTGTGACAATGCATGCATGCGAATATCTCATCACAACAAGGTGCTCTAATTCGCATCTCATTCTGTGACGTGAGTACCTAAAAATTCATAATATACAAAATTAAAAGAAACTCAATTATAAGAAACTTGAATTCAAAAAGTTAAAACACACAGGAATAAGAAAAAAGAAATTGTTCATAATCAAACTATGTAGTTATGATGAGATAGATACCCGAAATACCTAAATCTTCTCTCCATCAGAGATTCATCTATGGCTGAATCTAAGACCATCCGGTTCTTGAAGCTGCTTTCCATTCTTTTTTGAATAAAACTTCAATGAACAAACCAAATGATCTTTATTTGAACAATCAATTGCAATTAATTCACAACATAGAATTAAAAAGTAAATCACTCCAAATAAATACTAGAAACAAAGTGGGATTCCTAATATATAGATATAAGAAAGAGAAAATTGGGAAAAGAACTAAAGAATCAAACCCCATTAAATGTACATTGAGAGAGATAAAGGGATGCCACATTATTATTGTGGAGGGATTAAAATGACCTAATCATATTGTTGGTAATTAAGTAGGATAATTAATCTAGTAATTGGTGTATTTATTATTGGTCAATCCTTTGAAAATTTATTGCAGAATTTGTAGAGTTTTAGAATTTAAACAGCTAAACTTTATTTTAGATTATCATGAAAAAGGTTAAACATCAATAAAAGATAAAAATGTAATACTTTCATTGTTGGAGGGTACAATTGATATTTTAAAGTAGTATAGATTTATACTAAGATCAACCTTGCTGGTTATTGTAGTTTTACTTCATTCAAATTAGCACTAAAGAAGATGACAAATGATAAATATCAAGTAGAAATATTATTGAGGCATAAGATTTAATTTTTTATTTTTGAATTTATATTTTTTATTGAAACATAATTTTAATGCGCTATTCGCTGTGCAAGGCATAAGAATTGTATAAATGGATGCCCGAACTCAAAACTTGCATTGACAATTCATGCACCACCCAAAAAAAGAGTGAGTTAGGGTGTCAATTCGTGTTAAAATAACAAAATTCATCCACTTTGGTGAAGTATTGTCTTTTCCATCTGTGACTGAGGGTGTCTTCTCTTCTGTCAGCCGGCGGCTGAGAGGCTGAGACAGCCATAACTCATAAATTTTTTTTTTCTCCACTTATATAATTAGCGGTAATAAATAAACAGTTATTTTTTAATGTATAATTTATAAATAAATTTGCTCTCAACTCACAACTTCACAAGTCGCAACTCTCATTTGTTTTCAACTCAACTCAGCGGCTCTCAACTCTCATTTGCTCTCAACTCACCAGTCATAATTCTCAAGTGTTTTGAAGTCTCAAAATCGAGCTGTCAGTTGTCTTAAAGATTCAAGATTATCGAGTGCTCTCATTTGGTGAAAAAGTTTTTTTACATAATTTAATTATTTATTTTATTTTTATAGTTTAATTTATGTAATAACTTTATCTCATTTACAAAATATTTTTTATAACGAAATTCTTGAGTCGAATAATGATAATGAAAACATCGATGAGGGTGAAGGGGATGATTCACTTTCAACACCTGAGATGGATTCTACTGGGAATGTACTATCTAATAAAAGACAAAAGTCCAAGGCTTAGGATCACTTTGAGAAAATCAAAATTAAGAATTCTAATGGGGTGATTACATCAGAAAAGACTATATGTAATTATTGTAAAAAAAAATTTGCTAGAGGCTCTAAAAATGGAACTAGTTACTTAACTAGACACCGAAAGACATGATTATTAAAAGGTCAAATTGATATTAGACAAATAATGTTATTACAATTTACTGGCATCAGTACACTAAACACTTTTAGTTATGAACTTGAATCTGCTAGAAAAACAATTGTTAGATGAAATCTTCCATTTGTTCTTGTAGCAATGCTGAATTTGAAAGAATGTTACAAAGTGATTTTAATCATTTTTTCCCAAAGTTTTCTTGTCAAACATGTCAAAGAGATGTTATTAAATATTATGTAAAAAAAAAAAATAATTTAATTTCTTATTTTGATAATCTTAAAAGTAAAATTTATTTGACTTCTGATATTTGGACTTCCTGCCAACAATTAGGATATTTATGTATAACTATTTATTTTATTGATGATAATTGGGTTATGCAAAAAAGAATTATTACTTTTACAAGGATTGAAGATAATCACAGTACACAAGTTATTTTTGAAGTTATTTATAACCAGTTACAAATTTATCGTATTCAAGACAAAATTTTTACTATTACTTTAGATAATGCAACAAAACATAGTGGGGATGTAAGTCATTTAAAATGTTATTTAACTTTACCACGTGAATGTACTTTTTTTTTTCATATGAGATGTATGTGTCATATCATAAATCTCATAGTACAAAGTGGTTTATATGATATTAGATTTGTAATTGATAAAATTAGGTTCTAAAAATAGATTTAGGACATTTGGAATTATGTGTAAAAAGAATAATTTAAAATGTAAAAAAATATCATATGATGTAGAACATAGGTGGAGCTCTACTTAAATGCTAGATGTGGCAGTTAAATATAAAGTTGTCTTAAATGACTAAGTTAGTATAGATACCACTGGTTCATTATTGCATCCCACCGAAGAGGAATGAAATGTCACTAATAAAATGAAATATTTTTTAAAAATTTTTTATGAGGCAACTATGATTTTATCTGGTAATTATTATCCAACTATTACACTTGTTTATGTTCATATAACTAGTATCAATGAATTTTTTTAACAATATAGTATTGAACCTGAATTTTCTATTATTTTACATAATATACAATCTAAATTTAATAAATATTTCTCATCACTTTCTATACTTATTGGTTTTGGTATGTTAATTGACCATTAATTTAAAGAATTTGGCTTTATAAGTACTTTTATGTCTCTATATGGTAACTTAAATGATGAGCACATGAACCCCATGAATAAAATAAAATATTATTTTAAAATTTTTTTTAATGAATATAGTGTAACATTTGAGAATAGTGGTACACTTAATTCTCCCTTAGTTTCTGGTTATATTGTTAGTAGTACTAGTAAAGATAAATGTAAAATATTTATGCTAGCTTCAATTTTGACCAGAGTAGGTATGTCAACATCTAGGGGGTTAACTGAACTTCAGTAATATTACAATGCTCCATTGGTAGGTGTTGAAGATCTTAATTTTAATATTTTGGCCTGGTGGAAAGGATATGAAAGTAGGCTTCCAATTCTTTCCACCATAGCTCGTGAAATACTAATAGTTCCTATGTGTAGCACCCAAATTTGTTTTTAATACAGGTGAATATGTCATTGATGAGTATAAGAGTTGTTTGGATGGAAAGACAGTGGAAGCTCTCATGTGTTTTTAAGATTGATATGGCGTTGAAGTGAGAAATCAAAGTATGAAAATAAATTTTTCAATGCCAAAATTTGAAGTTTTAGAAATTTAGATATCAAGACTAATGTATTTTTTTTCATGTATTAAATATACAAGCCTTTCATGTATCAAAGCCTTTAATGGGTAGAATTGTGTGGGTAGAATTGTGCAAATGATAAATAGGTGGGTAGGTGTCAACCTAGTTGAGATATATTCATTCTATTGTAATGTAATTTCTCTTCTATTCATAAATAAAATTATTCATTATTTAATTTTTGTCCATTTTGATTTTGACTATACTTTTATTTCAAAAATATAATTTACAAAAAAAAATTAAATGAAGTTGTATATTTTTTCAATAGGGACCAACAAGCCCGCTTAAAATAGGTCCTAAACAGACCCGCCCAATAGGCCCAACAAAGCCCTCCCAAACAAGCCCGCCCAGCCAGGCCAGCTTAGAAATCCCGTCAAATAGGTGACGGGCTGGGCTCTGCGTAGCTTACCCCTGCCCAAAGCCCGACTTGGCCTGTCACTCACCCAAGTTCGGGCTTGGGCCTACACTACTCAAAGCCCGGCCCAAAAAAAATTCGTAAGTCGGCCGGGCCGGACAGCCCTAGACACATTTAACTCTATTAAGCTAAAAGATGGTGTTTAACATGATATAAAAGCTTAGAGGTTCCGAGTTCAAATTACACCAAACCTCTTACACTTGAAAAATAAACACGGTGGTGGATCACCCAACGAAGGTTTACACATAAAGGAGAGTATTAAAATTGTGTTACTCTACTAGCTTAAACCTTTAGAACCGATTTTGTTCAACAAACTCATAAATTTGAAAACCCCTCTCTTGATATTATCCACCATGCGTAACATCCAACAATTCAAAAATCTACTTAATCCACATTCAGCAATACTAAATAAAAATTACTTCACTATGCAATAATTCTTAAAAGTATATCAACAAATAAAAATTATAAATTATAAATTTTTTCAAGCAATGTGTTTCTTGTGTTAAAATTGATTGATCATGTTTGACACAATGTAGAATAATGAGACAAGAAATTTTGATTCTTAAAACCTTTTTGACAAATATAATGGGAAGTGCATTCATGGACGTGAGACATCACAGAAATCTGACTTGAACGTCAGGGAGTCTTTAAGTCAACACTACATTGGTGTCCCTCTGCCTCCGAAATTCTTTCTTCATTCATTTTGTAGGCCTCAGGCCAAGAGCCAAAAAGTTACATCAATACTATTCAATGCTTATTAGACAAATGTTGATACATATAATTGAAAATAGCAAATAAATTAATCTCAAGAAAATTTTATAATGAATAGAAATTCAAACCAGAAACTAGGGGGATTGCAAAAACGAAAAAGCATGAGAAGAACAAACACCAATGGCTATGGAAGTCTGTTAACATTGAACCTCTAGCAGTTGGCCCAATGTAATTGTGTCGATGGAATTCTACAGACTTGTTTTTGATTTCGACAGCCACACAGAAACTTCTTTCATTTTTGGCCTAGATGCTGCATTGGGGTGCAGACATGCAAATGCAAGATTTACAACAAACACCACTTCTTCTGCCACTTGCTTCTCTAGAGGAGAAAGGCGTTGGTCAAGCAAATCCTTCAAAAGTACGCCATGGCCGATTGAGTTTGACGATGATGCTGATAAGGATGACATGATATCACTAGGATGCCTCCCCATAATCACTACCAATGATAGTACTCCAGAGCCATAAACATCGCATTTTTCATTCACTTGCATTGTGTAAGCAAGTTCTGTGATGAAGTTAAAATAAAAATAAAAATTACTACTCATGCTATCAAGCTGCATAGTCATAAAACACACATTTACTTACAATGGCATGTTTAAGGTTTGAAAAATTAGGCCAGCCAGAAAAAGTGGTGCATAAATTCCAAGAACTTAGCTAAGATAGTGGCAAACATATTAAGGTATGCATCAAATTTTCACCGAGTCTTCCAAAAAGCTCCATGACTATCAACGTCAAATGGATTTCTTGTTGAGCTAAGATCTTAGGAGGGGGTGGGCAGGGCGGGAAGGGGGATTTAACTAAAACTTGTCCGACATAAATGGTGAGGGAGAGAGAGAAAATACAAGTCGTAACTATACTTGATGGTCAAAACTTCAAAGGAAGGAGAATGATTTTATCTTTGGCATTGCACTCAATTTTAAAATTTATCAACATTGGTGAAGAATAAGAATACCCTCAATAAAACCCAAAGGGGTCCAGGGAATTTAATGTTGGATGATGCACTAGACAAAGATTGACAAATTTTGGAATTGAAAGGATTCAAATCCAGCTTTGCAAGCCGACTATGAGTTGATTTGTTGTGTAAATGGAGACATACCTATGAATGATTGCACTAGACAAAGATTGACAATTTTGGAATTGAGAGGATTCAAATTCGGCTTTGCAAGCTGACTTTGGTTGATTTTGTTGCATGGATTTAAACATACCTGGAGCTGCATACCCCAAAATTCCAGCAAATGAAGTCCAATTAGAAGAGTCGGGCTTTAACAAACTTACAGTACCAAAATCAGATATGTGACTCTTAAATTCAGAATCCAACAGAACATTCTTGCTTTATATGTCCCGATGAATTATTGGAGGTGAACAATCATGGTGCATATAAGACAGAGTGTTTGCTATGCCATTAATAAGATTCACCCTCTTAATCCATTCAAGTTGCATTGTTTGCACATCATTGCTTAGCAACTTCCTCAAGCTTCCCCCTTCCAAGAACTCATAAACCAAGAATGAATGTCGTGTGTGCGAACAAAATCCATAAAGCTTCACGACATTCCTATGCCGAATCTCTGTCACCGCACAAATTTCATTTGAAAAACCTTTCAAATTCCAATGTCACCATCATGTATCTCATGGAGTTTCTTTACAGCAACAACATGCCCACTACGTAACTCAGCTCTATAAATAGTTCCACATCCTCCCCTCCGATGCAATGTTGGGAGTTAAAGTCTTCTGTCACTTCGATGATATTTTCATACACCATCTTCCCATCAAAGCTCCATATTACAAAAAAAATTTCATTTGATCCTCTTGGCTCTTTTTCTATACTCCTTTTTTTAAGCCGAACAGCCCAAAAAATGCCAATAACTATAAATAATATCAACAAAGTGCCGAAAATAGGACATATGATTAAAACAATAATTTTTTTTGCACTTCTACCATTGGCCTCTTTCTCCTTCATAGGGAAGCATGGAGTTAAACCAGTGGCATTGCCACATAAACCATTATTGTGTGCTAATGCCTCAGATGGAGCTTTTTGAAAGGCTACGATGGCGGCAAGGGGACCCTCCAATTGATTGTAAGATATGTCAATAGATTTCAAACTTACTCTTTGATTGAAGGTGGATGGAATGGAACCAATGAACTCATTGTGGGAAAAATTTAATGTTCCTAGCCTTTGCATTTCTCCAAGTTGCCACTGTATCTCACCTATTAGCTGATTTCGACTCAAATCAAGATTTTCAAGGAAGTTTAAATTCCCTATCTGAGAAGGAATACTTACTCCAAGAGTATTTTTGCAGAAATTCAAGTGCAATATTTGTGTGCACTCTCCTACTTGTTCCGGAATCATGCCACTTAGATTATTTTTTGCCGTGTAAAGAAGTGTCAGCTCAGACAACATGCCTATTTGTGGCGGAATGTTGGCAGTAAGCTTGTTATTATTCAAAATCAGGTCCAACAATAAGGCCAGCTTCCCCAAATTTGTTGGAATCTCCCCGACCAGATGATGTGAAGAAAGATCTAGTACACGCAGCTGAGTTGCCTTTCCAAGTTCTGGTGGTATTCTTCCATAAAGGTTGTTGTTGGAGATCTTCACGCTAGTCAAATTATGGCAGATACCCCACTTTTGAGACAACTGACCATACAATTTATTGTAACTCAAATCGATGTAATCTAAGTTGGGTATATACCAAAATCTTCTTATTTGTTTTCATTTATTTGGTTTCTTTCAAACCTTACTCTAACCAAGCTGGTGCAATTTTTCAAGCTTTTGGGGATGGCAACTGTAAAAGAATTGTTTTTTGCAATGAATTTCTCTAGTAACCCACCAAGACATATATTCTCGGGTAAAGGACCTGTGAATTTATTATCAGATAATTCAACCTCTACCAAATGTGTCAGATTATTCAATTCTGGTGGAATTGAACCCAAAAGTTTATTCCCTTGGAAGAATAGTGTTGTTAGTTTGGTTAGATTCCCAATAGAAGTTTGAATTACACCGGTGAAATCGTTTTCATTCAAATAAAGTACACTGAGAGACCTTAGCAATCCAACTTCTTGAGGGAAAAGGCTCAAATAGTTAAGCTTTCCCAAGTTTCCTATGGAATAAGGGACTGAACCTGTTAGACTATTATTTGACAACTCGAGTTCAGCAAGAGACATTTAGCATTCCAGTTTCTTGGGGGATGAACCCAGAAAGATTGTTACTGTAGAGGTACAGTTGAGTGAGGTTGGCTAGGTTCTCAATAGAAGAAGGAATTGCACAGGTGAAATCATTATCGTACAAATAAAGTACACAGAGAAAACTTAGCATTCCAACTTCTGGATGGATAGACCCTGTAAGCTTGTTGGCAAAAAGGCTCAGAACGGTAAGCTTGCCCAACTTTCCTATGAAATGAGGGACTGAACCTGTTAGACTGTTTTCTGATAAGTCGAGTTTAGCGAGTGACCTTAGCATTCCAATTTCTTGGGGAATGAACCCAAAAATTTTGTTCCTGTGGAGGTGAAATATAGTTAGGTTGGCTAGGTGCTCAATTGAAGTAGGAATTGCACCAGTCAAATTGTTTTCACTCAAATAAAGTACACTGAGAGACCTTAGCATTCCAACTTCTGGAGGGATGGAACCTGTAAGCTTGTTACTGAAAAGGCTCAGATAGGTAAGCTTTCCCAAGTTTCCCATGGAATGAAGGATTGAACCGATAGATTGTTTTCTGACAAGTCGAGTTTAACAAGAGACCATAGCATTCAAATTTCTTGGGGCATGAGGCCACAAAGATTGTTCCTATAGAGGAACAATATAGTTAGGTTGGCTAGGTTCTCAATAGAAGTTGGAATTTCACCAGTGAAATTGTTTTCATCCAAATAAAGTACACTGAGAGACCTTAGCATTCCAACTTCTGCAGGGATGAAACCTGTAAGCTTGGTAGTGAAAAGGCTCAGAAAGGTAATCTTGCCCAAGTTTCCTATGGAATGAGGGACTGACCCTGTTAGACTATTTTCTGACAAGTCAGAGTTTAGCAAGTGACCTTAGCATTCTAATTTCTTGCAGGATGAACCCAAAAAGGTTGTTCCTGTATAGGTACAATGTAGTTAGGTTGGATAGGTGCTCAATAGAAGTAGGAATTGCACCGGTCAAATTGTTTTTATTCAAATAAAGTACACTGAGAGGCCTTAGCATTCCAACTTCTGGAGGGATGAAACCTGTAAGCTTGGTAGTGAAAAGGCTCAGAAAGGTAATCTTGCCCAAGTTTCCTATGGAATGAGGGACTGAACCTGTTAGACTATTTTCTGACAAGTCGAGTTTAGCAAGTGACCTTAGCATTCTAATTTCTTGCAGGATGAACCCAAAAAGGTTGTTCCTGTATAGGTACAATGTAGTTAGGTTGGATAGGTGCTCAATAGAAGTAGGAATTGCACCGGTCAAATTGTTTTTATTCAAATAAAGTACACTGAGAGGCCTTAGCATTCCAACTTTTGGAGGGATGGAACTTGTAAGCTTGTTACTAAAAAGGCTCAGATAGGTCAGTTTTCCCAAGTTTCTTATGGAATGAGGGACTGAACCCGTTAGACTATTTTTTGACAAGTCGAGTTCAGCAAGAGACATTAGCATTCCAATTTCTTGGGGGATGAACCTAGAAAGATTGTTATTGTAAAGGCTCAGATGAGTAAGCTTATCCAAGTTTCTAGAAGAATGAGGGATTGACTCAATCAAATTGTTTTTTGACAGATCAAGAATGCTTAGACCTCAACATTCCAATTTCTCGTGGAATAGAACCACTAATGCTACTTTTAAACATGTCAAAGATGCTAAGTTTTTTCAAGTGGCCTATTTTGGAAGGAATGAATCCATTGAGAGAATTGGTAGGCAAATCAAGATAGGTTAGACTAGCAAGGCTACCAATGTTGGAGGGAATGGTCCCATAGAGTAAGTTGTTTGAAAGGTCAAGCCTGCGCAGACTGAGAAAGCATGAGAAATTTGTGAAGTGAACCTTTTAAACCAGAACTTGTGAGGTTTATGCTGGCAATGCTTCCGGCCTTATTGCAACCAATGACAAACCAATTGCAGTGGCTGCTTCTAATCCATGAGGAAAAGATGGATTGGCTTCGGTTGTCAAGGCTAGTTTTCCATGTTAATAGAGTTGCTGCTTCCTTACCTCCTTCTCCTACTATTTTTGTTGTTGAAAAAGTAGCAGAACAGGAAGATGATAAGAATGCAAGGATGACGACAATGATGAAGGAGACTCGAAATGGGACTTACTGCTCGGAGAGTGGTTTCTATAGTGAGGGTCTCATTGTATGAGTTATGACAAAGGTGACGAGTGAAAGGTTGGAAAGAAGGTTGGGGATCTAGCACTACATGGAAAGGTATTTATAGATGGAAATTGAAAATATTATCATTTTGTTCACCCTCTTGATTGATGGGTTGAGGGACTGTTATCTGTGAAACTATCAAAGAAAAGCATGGATTGCAAAAGTAGTTGCAAGTCTTCCTCAAAAGAAAAAAGGAGTATACTACCTAGCAATTGTGGTGTCCAACTTGGAACTGAAAAGCTACTGTCCTGTACCTCTTTTTTTAATCTCAAATGAAAAGGTGACACGTATAAAAGTTTCTTTATTTTATTAGTTTTACTATCAATAATCTTTACAACATTAAAAATAGATCAATAAATTGAAATCATTTTTTGGAATTGTATGGAAAGATATTTTCTGTACCACAGCCTCGTTCAGCAATTGTGATGTATATTCCATTCCCATAGGTACCCACTTCAAAATCCATTTATGCCACTAGCTATCATGAATCTTCATCAAAAGCTATCTTTGATGCAAAGACTTTGACTTTTAGGTCCCCTTGTGTCTTTCTTCGTATTGAACATCAATGAAAATGCAGGAATCAATTACATTGTGAAAGTTTTCCTATCAGGTTTTGGATCTCTCCACTCCACTGCTTCAGCTTTCATCAATTACCCAAGAATACCGTTGGAAATACTGCAGTTTACTTGGCATGAGCTTTCACTCTTTCACTCTTTCACTACACAACAACTAGAAATACTGCAGTTTCCATCTCTTCATCAATTACTGTCTTCCCTTCTTTCAAACAAAAGAAATGCCAATTAACAACTCACATGCTATGCCTTAAAGGTAGACTTGACTTTGCTCACTATACCTTCTGAGACCACCCAAATGGAATTGAAGGTTGATTACACGATCATGACTTTGTTTCAAGTCTTTAACCATTACCCTCTCTATTAAAACTTGATTTGAATTTAAATCGCTTCCTATACTTTTTTCTACATTTCTCTTTTTAGTAGATCTCCAACCATGTATATTAGTGAGGGATCCACTCATATACAATGGATTTCATTTGAACTCACAGTAGTTGATCTACCAAGGAAAAAAAAAAAGGAAATATTTTTGTAATGACCTTTCAAGTCGAGTCCATTGCATTTGGGTGGTCTAAGTATTGTCTTTTGAGAGAGTTAGCTAAAACCGTAGTATATAAAGTCAATTCTACCTATAAGACATAGGAGAAGTTAATTAGCTTTTCTTTCCTCGAATAACAGGCAGACAAAAACTAATGAACATATGTAGATAGTGAGTTTTCATGCTCTCTTCCACACATAGCATTGAAACTTTGGAAACTGCAATATTTTGAACTGTTGGGCATAGAAATACTCAGAGTCCATGCCCAGTAAATTGAAGAGAATTTAGCATTTAGAGGCAACAGTCATTTTGAATCATTTGATAAAAGGTGAAGCTGGTCTTCTACCATTCGAGAGATCCAAACACTGATAGGAACTACACCAGACCTTTCGAACGTAATTAATAATTCTCCATTCAGTGGGACAACTAGCAAGACTGTAGGAAAAAACTGGATGCAAATAAAGTGAACAGCAGGGTGAAACGCGGACTAAGTCGTTCTATTAAGACAATTTGCGCCCCTTTGTGAAAGAATCATAGCGCAGAAGGTAGTAGCACGTTGTCTCCAACATACAACAGCCCAGCCTATTGACCGTTGTTTTACTCAAATCTGCACAATCGAATGAAGCAGAAACTTTACACACACTTTTTGATTATTGCCCAGAAACTTATATTGTAAGAAGGTAGTTGATATGATATTGTATCCCTCTATACTGAAAATACCTTATATATATATACACACACACACACACACAAAAACAATATATGTGTTTAATAGGCTGTAATTATTTCTATATTTAATTGTATAATAATTAAAAAAATATGACTGTTGAAATACTAGCCATTTGAGGTTTTTGGTATTCAGCAACTGAAATTTTAATATAGAGGTAATGATAGAAAATAATTAAAAAGTGGGTTTAATACTAGTTAATATTTTATTTCATTTAGGCGAGCCAGGGGGACCTACTACCCGGGTTGTGGACTAGGTACACCAGTGTGGTTCGTAGATTTTAGAAATTCGTATCTCCTTTGCTAGTCTTATCCCTGCACACGTGAGAGTTCCAAAATCTCTCTTTAATTCAAAGGCTAGCTAACACTAGCATATATATATACTCAAGTATCTTTGGATATTTAGTTGGTGTAGGATTGAATTCTCACACATAAAAAACACTCTTTTAATTAAAATATTCTAACAATCCCCCACTTATTTTAATAAAAGATATACTATATAAGTAACCGGGTAATAAATAGAATATCATGCATTGCAAAAGTGGCAATGCCTTTAAATCTTTACTTAGTGTTTCAATGTTCTCGTACTAAAGTCCAAGTGGACTTAACCTTTAAACGATGACTACTTGAGGGTACGTAGAACCATATCACACACATGATATTCAAGGTGTCCAAAACCAGCATATTTTCGACCTTGTACTTTATCCCAATTTATTGAGTGCTCTAGAGAATTAGCCCAAATTCTAATAGGAAGCGGTCCGTCTTCCACACTCATATAGGTGAGTCTATCAAGGATGTTCTCATAACTAAGATATCCCACCCAAAAAGGGCTATAGAACTCATTAAGATAAATTGATTTCATTCTCCAAATTTTCGTTACGAGATCACATGTACTTTACACCATAGGGATGGACAATGAATATAAACTTTCAACAATGATATAAATTTCATTGGTACATGTTTCACAAATCAAGTCACTCTATGATTCGTCTGTCCCATTAACCTAGTTCTTGGGATCTCCAATCCCTAGGTTGGGTATCCTGATATGTAAATCAGATATGGGCTTGAGTCCAATCCCCCTCAATGTACTCCAAATCTTTTCTCTAGCTAGAGCTTTTGTTAATGGATCGACAAGATAGTCAGTTGATCTCACATAATCAACATTGATCACACCATTATTTAGGTATGATCTCACAGTACTGTGTTTTCTTCTCACAGATCTAGATTTTTCATTATAGTACTTGTTACGTACTTTACCTATTGCGACATTGCTGTCACAATGAATTAACATAGGTGGCACTGGTTTAGCCCACAAAGGTATATCAAACAATAAATCACGAAGCCACCCAGCTTCCTCACTAGCTGAAGCTAGTGCAATCAATTCAGTTTTCATTGTTGACTTTGCAATAGTTTGCTGCTTCTTTGATTTCCAACTTATGGCTCCACCACCTAAAATAAAAACATAACCTGTAGTGGACATAGAATCACCTGATAGGGTGTTCCAATCTGCATCACAGTAACCTTCAAGTACAGCAGGATAATTCTTATAAATAAATCAACATGTATAGTTCTTTTTAGATATCTCATAAGACGACATATTGCATTCAAATGATTCATACTAGGTCTAATAGTAAATCTACCAAGTACACCCACCGCATAGGCAACATCAGGTTTAGTACAATCAGTAGCATATCTAAGACTACCAATTATGCTTGCATACTCTATTTGATTAATTGCATCACTTTCTTTTACTGTTGTAAATAAATGAATGCTTGAATCAAAAGGTGTGCAAGCAGGTTTACAATCAAAAAAGTTATATTTTTTCAAAAAAATTTCTATGTAATGAGATTGATCAAGCATAATTCCATCAACACTTTTTGTGATTTTCATGCCAAGAATCACATTTGCTTGACCCAAGTTTTTCATGTCAAAATTTCTATTTAGTAAAGTCTTAGTAGTCTCAATCACATATAAGCTAGTGTCAAATATCAAAAGATCATCAACATATAAACAAATAATAATATGTTCACCATTTTCAGACTTTAAGTAAATACATTTGTCACTCTCATTAACCTTAAACCTATGAAGCACGGATACGGATACGATACGATACGGGTACAGGATACGATAAAAAAAAATATATGGGTACGATTAGGATACGTCCATAAAATATATATTTTTTAAAATTTTATTATTATATTTAATGTAATAATTACGATTTATAAAGTAAATCACACTTCTATCAAATATATATAATAATAACTAACCATCAGAGTCAGTCGATCGTCAGTGTGAATGAGTGAGAGAAAAAGAGAGAGAGAGACGATCGTCGTCGAGTATCGACTGAAGGGAGTGGGGGACTTGACGAGCTGTGGAAGAAAAATGTATAGGTGTTAGTCTTTTAGACTTTTAGTTTAATAATTTTTTTTTTTTGCAAATAAGGGCCTAAATATATTGCTCTTG